GTGACGAAAAGAGGAAACTTCAGCTAAGGTCATGGTGTGACAAAGAGGACACACCTCTTGAAACACATCAGTTGAGAACAGATCTTTGAAAAGGAATCCACAAGCCTTGAAATGCATCATTTGGCTTTGAAGAATTGTTGCCTATATTAGCCACAGTAACTGTTTATTTGGTAGGACTCTGGCTGGTTGCTAAGGGGAATGCAATCACATTTGTTTTATGTTTTTTTGGAATTAAGGAGGTCCAAATGGGATTTACCAGCTTATGATCCAAAGTCTAAAAACTAGAATATCACAGAGACAACATCAATAATAACATAATGAGGGGCATCAGAATAATTATGTCTTCTGGTACAATTTAGTACACATACAAAATGTGAAGTCTAAGCAGCTGCACAAGGGCCCTCTGAGACTAGGAGGACCATTTTTACTAGATGTTGGGCAGGTGAGTGCGGAGATCCCTTCCTGCTCTCACGTAGAGTTGGACTCTGTACATTTATCTAGCTGTCAATAAAACAAAGCGAATAAGTATTTTTACCAGGACAGAAGTTAAATTGGAATGGGGGGGGGGCACAAAATTGGACTGGCACAGGAGCCTCTTAGCGATTTTGTCCTCCACCGTTTGGGCAGCAATAGAAACTACTATCCCTTATATGCCTTGCTAAACACAAAACAGCCAATATCATGCACTTGTCAATACCATGAAAATTTTGAATCTTGTGGATAAGAAAAAAAAATACTTGACAGAAACACAAGTGATTGGGAATATAAAAATCAGTCCCCAGAGCTGGAGTTTTAACACAGCTTTAATTGAGGGCTTTCCTGGTTGGCAATCGAGCTCAGAACGCTGCCTCTTACAAACACAATGGAGTGACCATAAATGAAATGCTGAACCTCTCCCCACTTTAAACTTATCCATACTTCTCACTTATGACATGATTGATTTTCCTTCAGGGTCCTCAAGTACAGGATTGTCTTCCTTCTCTCTCTCTCTTTTTTTTTTTTTCCTTCCTCTGTGTGGTAACAGCTAATGCATATAGCCTTGGCCTGTCTGAGAATGGCAGGAAACTGACATGTGAAAGAGCAACTGAAATGAATACGGATGAAATTTGAAAGTGCAATTTTCCATCTGTCAATCACCTTTTAAAGATGCACGTTAACCACCAATCAAGTATATCCTGGCTGAGGTCATCCTCATTTGCCCCCTTTACCGTGAAATCCAACAACTGTCCACAGAACGCCTGATTTCACCTACAAAAGTTTTTATTTTTGTTTTAATTCTGTTTTCTACTTTTATCTACCTGAGGGGTATTGTAGGTTTCCATTTTTTTTTTTTAACGTCCTTTATTTTCCCCTTCCTTTTAATTATGAGAATCTCTCAAGGCCAACATTTTATTTCTTCTTGTTAGGATACAAACGGATAATTTTCGTCTGCTTGCTTCACTTGTAAAGGCATCTAGGATACTGGAGATTAATAATTTATGGTTACCAAAACTCATTCTGGCCCTGGCTTTTGAGATGCTTCAAAAAATACAGCCAATTAAGGTTTATTTAATTATTAAGGTTGAATAAATAACAGCGAAACATGTTAAAAATCTTTCAGTTTCAGTCAATCATCATAAAAAAATTAACAAGCCTGGATAGAGAGACATAGGGAAAAAACTGATAGGCTGCAATCGTGAATTATAAATTGATATTGATTTTTTCCTTTGCAATAACACTCTCAGGTAATCGTATGTTGCCACATGGAAAGTGCACTTTCCTGGGCTGAGACTAATATTAAGTATCAAATATATATGAGATGGAGGCGTTTATGACACTTAAGATTTCACAAACAAAAAGGGAAAAAATACAATTTGTGGCATAATGGCTGCACTGAAAACAGGATCCTAGGGCGTTTATGGGAGCAGAAAGGGACCCAACTGTGCCGTGCAGTCATAAGAAACGCTAACCTTATTCTTTGCCTGACATCCCTCTTCTGATATGTTACCTTGTTAGTATCGCTAAGAAAAACATAAATATTTTTTATTATTTCCAAGGCTCATCCTTGTCTTGCCTAATAGACAGGCCACATGGAGTTAAAGCCGTATTATATAGCCTGGTGCAGAAGTGATCATTCAAAACAGCTTGTGCTCATATTTTACACTGCCAAGCTTTATTAATTCTAAGCCCCTAAGAAATAGTGAGGGGATTTTCCGACCTTCTGTTTATTGAAGTAACAAGGAGACGAGTAAGACATTTCCCTAGGCTAGCTCAGATAAAGTGGACAATTACTATTGGCATTCCGAGTGTAAATATTTAACACTTCACTGCTAGTTTGCACCTAAATACCTATTAGATGGTGCGATGAATCCGGACACTATTTCCCAATAGGGTTACCTTGCTTGTCTCTTTTTTTTTCCTTCCTGTTTTCTCTAACCATGTTTATTGGATTACAGTTAACACAAGTCTTGTTATACAAAAGGACCCAAGGAGAAGTTTGTTGAAGCCGTTTTCTGCTGTACTAATAGAGCTGGCAAACGATTTTACAGATTAGTATCAGTCTAAAGCAGAAAGCTGAGCTAATGTAGGCCTGAATTCCCAGAACAACATGGCTGCATAGCAGATACACCCTGTAGGTCTCTACTCGGAAGGCAGAAGGGAGTAAGCCCATCAGCTAGAATAGTTTCATTGGTACTAGGAAGCTCATAATTGGCAACATGGCTTTCTTTGGCACCTGTACATTTATCATTACTGGTAAAGGATAGAACTAAGCTCATTTTAATTGACATTACAGCTACATTTCTGAAACATGAATCTCAAGACAAAAAAGAGAAAAGATGTCACTTTGCTTTGATTCCAATGGATAGTTGATGTGGTCCAAGGCAATTCAGATTAACTGTGAACATACATGTTTAAATTTATATAGTGCTTGCATATTTCACATCATTCGTAGACTACAGAAATGTTCACATCAGTTCCTGTCCCACGTATTGTAGAATTTACTGATTGTACTGCAGCCATGCAGTTGCATATCAAGGTCAACTTTGAGTGGAAAAGATTCTTCCTACAAAAAGTTTTTAGAATTATGGGATTAAACCAAAGAAACCAAATGGACACAGGGAGAACATACAACCTCCATACCTAAAATGCTTCCTGATAGGAATGGAATGGTGACATAAAGTAGCCAGGTTATGAATATTCTAATATTAACATTCTTAACAAGCAGTAAAAATTTAAAATAGGTTCTCATTGACCTCTATAGCTACATGCACTGAGAATTAGTTAATCCTCAAATATTACAGGAAAAAACAAAACTTTTACTTTCATTTCAGCGTCTCAGCTCACACTGTTCCCCCCCATGCTATCTCTGACTTAGCAGCCTAATCTCTACAGCGGGTATTCTCAACCAGGGTTTCATGGAACCTTAGGGTTCCTCCAGGGGTTGCTAGGGGTTCCTTGAGCTGTGGCTTATTGATCTCTCTTTTAATGATGCCTGCATAATTCCAGGACCAACACCGATTGGCATCTTTGAGGGTGCTCTTTTTACCACCAATCTAAGAGGCAATTTTTCCCACTGGCCACCATTGAATTACTTTTAGCAGGGGTTCCCTGAGACTAGTATTTTTTTTTTTTTTTTTTTTTTTTTTTAGGGGCAATTCTGCAGTAAACAAGATTGAGAATGGCTGCTCTACAGTAAACACAGAGCAGGTACACAGGAAGAGAGATGGAAGAGGAAGAGTGCTGAGACTGAACCTGAATGACTTCAGTGCTTCCACTGTGAACTTTAAAGATGAATTGCTCCTCAGTGCCTATATCTATTGAAGTAAGTGAAATTACAGTTTGTTAACATGTAAATATTTAAATTTCCATAGTCTTAAACATTTCAATGGCAAGCAATCTTACTGCCATGTGTCACAGAAGAATATAGTGTGAAATTATTTTTTAACCACCTTTCGACAATCAGCAAATACAATTTTTGGCTTCCTTTTTTTTTTTTTTTTTAGAGGGTATTTAAATCTGTACAACTGCTACTGCAAAGTTAGACTACTACAGAGTGATGTGAAAGGACTGGCATGCCTTTCAGGCTTTGTGGAATATCTGGCACTGCATAAACTAATACAAAATGAACAACAATAAGAATCATCACAAACATTGGGAAAACACATGGCCAGCAAATACAAAATGGAAATGATAGTTGCCTTACCACTTTGGAAACTGCTCCAGAATTTTTACAAACATGCTTAAACAACACTTTTGTAATTTGCCTTTTTTTGCAAAGTCTATACATTTGAGCAAACATCTGATTATTCTCAGATACATGATACATATAGAGAACAACAAAGATTGACAGGCAAACAGATGGCTACCCATTCTCTATGATTTTTTTTTATGTCAAAACTACAAGCAATTTACAAGAGAAGTTCATTTCTCTGAAGCAATTAGTTTGCAGATACACTATTGACTGTCTAATGCTTGTTTGCTCAACAGCTCTCACTGAGTTACATGCTTGTCTACGTGACAAAGCACGAACAACGGGGAACTCTTGATGTCTTCAGAGTACTAACACTCACCACTGGATCCCCTGTGCCCTCACTCCTGAGGTAGCCATTGACGCCGTTACAAGAGAAAGATAATGTACTGCAAAACACACAGATTATCTCCAGCATCACAGCTAATTCTGCACAATGAAGTTTCTTCTTGTTACAAAAAAAAAACTACTAAAAACAACGAGTGCTGAAGTGCTATGCAGAACAATCAGGTTCCATGTCTGTCTCCGGTACATTAAAAAAACTACAGTTCAATTTTAAATTTGTTGAGGCTTACCACTCAAAAATCACTGATGGATTTACTGTAGGTCATCCTGAGCCCAACAATCAAATACTTTCAGTGGAGACCCAAGGGTCAGATCCAGGGGTGGACTGACAACTCATGGGGCCCCCGAGCAATAGGGGATCATGGGGCCCCTGTGTCCTTGCCCAAACTCAAAAAAGCCTATGAAAAAGGTACCAGGGGCATCTCATGGGGCCCCCTACTGACCCCGGGCCCTCGGGCAGTGCCAGAGTTTCCAAATGGTCAGTCCGCCCCTGGTCAGATTACAAAGCTAACCCCCCCGGGATAAAGAATCCTTTTTTTTAATAAACGTGACAGTTATTTTCAGCTCCAAGAGTCCAATGAGGTTTAAAAACTAAAGGCAAAAATGGTAAAAACAATGATTCCCATCCATGTGTAAGAGCTTATTGAATTGAGACTCTACTATCATGTTTTTAAGTTAACTGCCCATAGACTGATCAAAATGCATCTGTGTCAGCAGGAACTGGCTAAATTTCAACCCATCTATGGGCAGATTGGTCATACTGAAGTCGATCAATCACAGTTAGTTCAGTTACTTGACATAAGGTTTATAGCAGAACTTAAAGTGTTACTAAACCCACAACAGTAAAAAACAGTCTGTATATGCAGTAAAAGCATGCTTGTTATACTCACTGTGGAACCTAAGGAGTTAATCCTCTGCATTGTGTAAAAAGGATGTTTGATCCTGTCTTCTCTGATCCTCTCCTCCTTTTAATGTCCCAAGTCCATCTGCTGATAGGATAGAGGGTTGGGAGCAAGCTGCACATGCTCGTTTGGTGTGTGTATTGCTAGATAGGTTTTTTTTTTCCCTGGAGAGTGCATGTGATCAGCACAGGGCCAATCAGCACTGTCCAGACAGAGGGTTAGGGTTCCTGCAGCCTCATAGGACAATCAGGGGAGAATGAAAACCTCCTACAAGCTTTAACCAGTGCTCTGCTGCACACTGATAGAAATCAGAAGACTGCTATATACTGCTGATGAGAAAAGATATTTAGCAGTTTATAGATACTAAAATAATTGCATTTCCATATTCTGTGTATTGTGGGAGACCAGATATAGTGAATGCAGGGTCCTGGGAGACCAGATATAGTGAATGCAGGGTCCTGGGAGACCAGATATAGTGAATGCAGGGTTCTGGGAGACCAGATATAGTGAATGCAGGGTCCTGGGAGACCAGATATAGTGAATGCAGGGTCCTGGGAGACCAGATATAGTGAATGTAGGTCCGGGGAGACCAGATATAGTGAATGCAGGGTCCGGGGAGACCAGATATAGTGAATGCAGGGTCCTGGGAGACCAGATATTGAAGTCCTGGGTTTAGTAACTCTTTAACTGTATCAGAGCACCACAAACTGAAAACACTATTTAATCCATTTATTTCCAACTATCCATGTCTTTATGCTGTATTTTGTTAAGAAATACTTTGAAAAACACCTCCTAGTATTTCTAGCTGTGGCCATATTGAGTAGGGGCAGATTGGGCATTTACTTCCTGGAATCCATCTCCCCTTAGCTCAGGCATGCAGGCAAGAGGGCGTGCTTAGCTGGGACAGCCCCTCTTCCAGATGAAGATAGGAAAATGCCCATAAACACTCCTTGGATATATGAAATCATTTGCCTAGGCCTGCAAACCAGGAGGCAACTGAAGAACTGCAAAAAAAGTAAATATAATATACTTTCCTATCTATTTACAAATAGTTAATGTTGATTGAGAGAGTTTAGCTCCCCTCTAAGGACTGCTTTGCAAGGATAAAAGAAAACATCTGTGGCTGTTCATTGTCAGTAATTTATTTATGTGGACTTGTAAAGCTATTAAAAGTCAACTTTCAAGAACATTTTGGGGTTGATTTATTAAAGGCAAAAAAATGGTGCACTTTGCAAAGTGCAGTTGCTTAGTAAATGAGATAAAGCTTCACTTTGCCAATAATACCCAATCATGTGTAAGGAAAATTTTAAATTTTAAAAAAAATGCATTTTTGATGGCATGTGATTGGATGATGGAAGTCACAGAGCTTCTGCTCATTTACTAAACTCTGGAGCAACTGCACTTTGCAAAGTGCACAGTCTGTTTGCCTTTAGTAAATCAACCCCAACGTTTTTTTCCAGTATTAGAACATTTTTCTAGATCTTGCTAGTTTTCCCCCAACCTATATATTTTCTCGGTTTCTTTTATTACATTTCAACTTCAACATAGCAGCTTCTCGTGTCAAGACGGGGAAAACCAGGCGAGATTTTAGAAAATGTGGCAGATTGAAAAATCAATGATATTGTAAGCTCGAAAGAGCAGGGCCCTCAATCCCCTCATGTTTTGCATTGTATTGGTATTGTTCTGTCACATGTTCTGTCCCCCTTTGTAATGTACAGCGCTGAGCGAACTATTGGCGCTTTATAAATACTGTATAATAATATAATATTGTCTGTGTGTAATTGGGCCCCTATATGTTGCCGGGTGCAGGGGCGGACTGACCATTTGGAAACTCGGGCACTGCCTGAGGGCCCGGGTCAGTAGGGGGCCCCATGAGATGCCCCTGCTACCTTTTTCATGGGCTTTTTTGAGTTTGAGCAAGGACACAGGGGCCCCATGATCCCCTATTGCCCGGGGGCCCCATGAGTTGTCAGTCCGCCCCTGGCTGGGTGTTTGCTGAGCGGTCCTGCCAAAAAAAAAAAAAAAATGGATCATCTGAATCCCAACCACTTCTAGAAGAGAAGGCATTACAGACAAGAGTCTCTTTGAACCTGTGATACTAGATATATAAAAGCGGAAAAGCCCGAAAGACGAATCGTTTGCAGTTTCAGATGATGGCAGTCATAGTAACCTTGCCAATCCTCCTAGAATGCGTTTTGTCCATATACTAAAATTTGAAGCCTGCGAGTGTCGGAAGTGTTACAGTTGGGTTTTTTATTCATCCCTGAACACTTTCCACAGTCTTACCCAGTTCCAAAAAACCCTTCAGTCTCAGAGGTGACCTTTGTACTCTGGAAACAATTACTCCTGGAGAGCCTGTCAATATCATTATTTTTACAAGAAATCGATAGGCCTCACAAAGTTAATGGGGTATTGAGGCAACGAGCGTTTACCTCCTTACTGTCAGTGGTGCAGCAGCCTGTGTGCTTGGCACAGATGACAGATTCTTGTAGACACCAGGCAGACAGTAAGCACTGGCTGTAAACGAGAGGCTGGCTGCAAGCATGCGTGGAGGAAAATGTCAGCTTCTCAGTCAGCTGGAGTATGTTCTAACAAGCCAAAGATGTCAGGGTGTTGTGGTGTCTGTTCCGTAAAAAACAGAAAAACTCAAAACACGCCAACAAAATAAATATATACACATCTTAAAGAGCTCCTCCTCAAACAGATAAAAATTCAGAATTAAAATGCTTCATAAAGAATTGTAAGTCCAATTGAACATCCCTCTTAGATTGTAAGCTCCCAGGATCAGGCCCTCCTTTCCCTCTTGTATTGAACTGTATTGTTGCTGTATTGTCTCCCGTTATATTGTAAAGCGCTGAGCAAACTGTTGGCACTATATAAATCCTGTATAATGATAATAGAATAAATCAGCTAAATACATTCCAGGAGCAAAAAAAAAAACCCAAAAAGGTGTTCAATGTCTTTGTGATCCACAGCCTGGGAAGAATAGCCTGTCCCCTGCCAGCAATTGCTGAGTGGAACCCCTACTCTCTACATGGAACCAATGGTCATACTGCAGATCTCCAACAAACCCCCCCCCCACCCAAACCTATAGCTCTGCAGCCAGGAAAGTTCATGCTCTTTGCTGACTGAAGAGCTCTGACTCAGCAGGACCTCTGCAAAGAAACCACTGCTTCCCCACAGGGGGCATGCTGGCAGTGGACAGTCTTTTCTGCTCAGGCTGTTGCTGCTTTACCAACCAAAGGTAAGGTTTTGCACACCTATTTTGATGCTTCTGGAATGTGTTTCTCCGATTTAAACTGAAAGTTCAATAGGAATTTAGACGTAGCAGAAAAAAAATTCTCACCAGAAAAACCCCACCAGAACAATAAACTTTATTTGTATGTTCAAACATTGGAATGGTAAGCAACACTTCACAGATGGTTTTACCCAGTTCATGGAGTAGTAAACCTTTAGCCCTGGTTTACATTGAATATGGATTTGAAATCGCTCTACTGCTGGGCAGCACAGTGGCTAAATGTTTGGCACTTCCGCCTGGCAGTACTAGGGTCGTTAGTTCGAATCCCAACCGCGGCACCCCCTGCCTGGAGTTTGCATGTTCTCCCTGTGCCTGTGTGGGTTTCCTCTGGGTACTCCGGTTTCCTCCCACACTCCAAAGTCATGCTGGTAGGTTAATTGGCTCCTGTTTAAATTGGTCCTAGTATGTGTATGTATGAATGTGAGTTAGGGACCTTAGATTGTACACCCCTTGAGGGTTAGGGACTGATGTGAATGTACAATATATATGTAAAGCTCTGCATAAATAGACAGCGCTATAGAAGTACCTGAAATAAATAAAATACTTCAGAGCAATTCAAAGCTGCCAATCAGTGTGACTTCATGTGCGGCTTGCTGACATCTGTGCGAGTTCATGCACAGATGTTAATGTAAGTCGCACATGAATTGCAAAATATAGTGCAGGAACCTTTTTTTAATATCGGTGAAAATCGGAGCTGCACTGATTTGAGTGTTTCCATAGCCAGTGCAGCTTGTCATGCGACTTTGATCTGTCAAGTCACATGACAAGTTGCACCAGTGTGAACCGGGACTTACTATTTATCCCAGAGAAGGGCTTTAAACTTACTGAGGATTTTTTCAACTCCAACGAAAGTGGTATTATTTATTTATTTATTTCAGGTACTTATATAACGCTGTCAATTTACGCAGCACTTTTACATATATATTGTACATTCACACCAGTCCCTAACCCTCAAGGGGCGTACAATCTAAGGTACATAACTCACATTCACACATATGCCTACTAGCGACAATTTAGACAGGATCCAATTCACCTACCAGCATGTCTTTGGCGTGTGGGAGGAAACCGGAGTATCCGGAGGAAACCCATGCAGGCACAGGGAGAACATGCAAACTCCAGGCAGGTGGTGCCGTGGTTGGCATTCAAACCAATGACCCTAGTATTGCCAGGCGGAAGTGCTAACCATTTAGCCACTGTGCGGCCCATAACACTGCTCTTTTACAACAAAAATTAAATGGGTGCCAGGTGGTTTATGCCACGATGTGCTAGCATGCAGACTTACCTGTCAAACAAAACCCTCCAGAGCTGAACTGTCACCACACCTGGCGCTTCCATCTTCACGGTCTTCCTTCCTCTCCAGATGATTTAATGGCCGGGCCTGGATGAGGTCACTTCTGCGCATGCGCATGGGAGTCACCATCACAGCACAGGCAGTGTGTCCTGAATGCAGTGGTAATTGTGCATGCACAAGTGACATCGTCAGCTGGAGCCAACATCTAAATCTACTAAACCACGCAGCTTAAGAGGATTTTAAAGGTGCTTTCAAGGAAGACATATTTCAAGCTTTAATATAGAGGATTTAATACCACTTTAAAGTGAGCCTGTTGCTTTGCTCTACATGAGCAAAGCAAATATTTACACTCTTGCATCACTTGTCCCTCCCTTTTAGATTGTAAGCTCCCGTGAGCGGGCCCTCCTAACCCTCTTGTTTTGAATTGAATTCTCACTGTACCGTCTCCCTTTATTTTGTAATGTGCTGCACAAATCCTATAATAATAAGACTGATTAGCCAGTTTTGCAAAACAGCTGTATACTAGATTATTATTATTATTCAGGATGTATATAGCGCCAACAGTTTACATAGTGTTTTACAATATAAAGGGAGACAGTACAATTACAATACAGTTCAATACAGAGGAAATAGGAGGGTCCTGCTCATGGAGCTTACAATCTAAAGATCAGTAATAATTGAATCAGTGGACTAGTTCTAATCAACTGCATTAAAGCCAGTAAGGTTATACTCCTATTGCCCAATTTATCATACAACCAGATGAAGTGACAGATCAAAATCTTACAACATGTACCCAGTTAATCGACTGGTCAGGCTTCTAAATAAGTTGATGGGCTAAAATGAATGACTGCATGCATTACTTTTTTCAGGGTTATTAAATAGCTCTTTTGCGTACTTGTGGACTAGCGGGACTCTGCATGTGCGATTTACACACAAAGGGAACTTCTGGCATGCATTGACTTGAAATATTTCCCATGCTCGGTTTTACCAATTCCCAGATGGGCTGCTCACTGTTACAGGATGCCCTGTCGAGTCTAGCTGTGAACCATATGATCACACAAAGAGCCATGGAAGAGCCCTCAGTTTAAAGGGCAGCCTTACTCTCCCTACCGCATGTACTCAAGCAATCATCTGCATACATTCCTGTCAATGCCATGGTGTAGAGGGAAAAAAAAAAAAGGACACAGTCTGCTATTCTCACATTCCAGTCCACACTGATCTGCTCCAGACAGAATTCTGGATACAATCGCTGCCCTGCTCTGGCGGGTCCTCTGACACAATGTAATTTAAAATAGAACTCTTGTTTAAACTGAAAACAACTGACAGAATGTTAAGTGCATTATGTGTAATTGTGACACGATGTGGAGGCGGCTATACATTCCACATTTGCTGCCCCAAATCTTTAGGAAAAAAAAAAAAAAGTCATAAATGACTCCAACATATGGTGGCATTTTGGAGATAGGAAGAAAATTGTTGAAGCTTCAGTCACTGCTATCAACAGTCTGGAATTTACACTAGTGTTTTACATCATTAGCCTCATCCTTCACAGCTTTCTGGGGCCTTAATGCAAACCATATGCAGAACCAAGAATGCTTACATAGGCCTGTAAACAGCTGTTTTCTGATTGGCTATTGTAGGATGGGAAATCGGTCTCCAAAGGTTGGGTGGGGGGGGGGGGGGGTTGGGAGAATAACAAAAAAGTATTTTCCTCTGTATGAGCCAGACCTCAAAACGATATACATTTTAGCTTTTCAAGGACAAAAATAAGCACTTAGCCACAAAAATGATTCTTGGTGGTTCCATACACAAACAACTGGCCTGGGTTATATATTATGTATAAAATAATTTATTTTTGCTGACCTATTAAAAAGCATTTTGCAAGGAACACTACGCCATTCACATCAGTCCCTACCTCTGAAGTACAGTCTAAAATACACACTGGCCGTAAAAAAATACACACTAATGCCCAAGCGCCAAGTGGAGTGAAAGCCAAATTTTTTTTAATAGGAAAGGATGATAAAGCACCCAATATGGAATAGAGGAGGAAGCAAAAACACTCATATAGACAATATGAGGTAGATTTACCAGAACTGGTGTACGCAGAATCTGATGAAGCTGTCCATGGTGGCCAATCAGCTTCTAACTTCAGCTTGTTCAAATAAGCTTTTGACAATAAAGTCTGGAAGTTAATTGGTTTCTATGCAGAGCTGCACCAAATTTTGCATGCTCCAGTTTTAGTAAATAACCCTCAATGTTCCTTGTAGGACATGATCTCAAGGCTGCAGGACCACTTTCCCCCCGGAGCTAACCAACATAACTGATGAATGGACTAAAGTTGGCCAAAAATATCATGAAGACTGTTATAGTTTTATCTGAGAAATACATCAACCAGAGTTC